GCATAGAGGTGCTTTGGGACTTTTTTAGACAATTTTAAAAAATTCAGAATATGTTGGCAGTTTTCTAAAGATTTGGTCTTTAAAAAGAAGGAGGTTTGATAAGAATAAGGAACCCCAATAGAGTAGAAAATACTAAGCTAGCTTCAACAAAGTGACTTCTTTCAATCAACACAGTTCCTACCATAAACTTCTTAGAATTACATTTTGTGCCCAGTTCTACCTAATTTTATTTACCTTACCTCCAATTATTTCACCTAAAACATCCAGAACACCCCTTTAATATGCAAAAATAGCCATTCAATATTTTTTTTCCTCCACACACGACCTAATATTCAGCATGTTTGGCAATTTATCTAACCTAACATAATTCTCATTTATCTCACCACATAATAATGCAACAAAAGCATCACAAAAGATCCAGTAGAACCTTTTGGCGTATTTCAAGTAGAACACACAATGTCGCACGTATTTATCGTGTATCTGTCCCAATTGTATAGCGCAGTGACGGCAAAACTATGTGCCGCGGCACACATGTGTGAGAAATCCCACAAACCATATGCTGTGTGTCGTTTTGGTTATGGCTTACCACCAATGTGTGCCATACCACAAAAAAGGTTGACCACCACTGCCATAGCGTAATACAATGGAAAGTCATTTCAATTGCTATGCTATCATTCTAATCTAAAAAATTATTATTATGAAGAAGAACAACTGGCTGTGCCTTAGTTCAATGCTGTTCCGTACACAAAAAAACAATGCACACACGGCAATTATCTTATCAGCAAATTATATTCACATATGTTCGTTTATTTATATACGCGTACTTAAATGTAATGAGAAAATGATGCCTTTTCTGCATCATATACAAGTCTTGACAATGCGGTAAGGCCATACATGATTCAATCATAAATCTATTTGTCTTTAATGCCAACATTCGCGTTCATGTGTATTATTACATGATTGTTTTATGATGAAGACTCTTTTTTTTTATTGACTTTCTGCCAGGATGGCACGGGAAATTGCTTAATGATTCTGAATGACTTGTTAAATATGGAACGGATTACTCGCAATATTCACCTGATTTCTACTGCATCAGAATGTGGACGAATCTGGTTAATTAAATATTAATTAATGAATGTCGTTGGTAATGACACTCTTTGTGGTCTTTAAACTTGCTGTCTATTAATGCGTGGAATTCCAAATGAAATAGTTGACTTGATATGGATTTGAAAAATATGTGAGGGGCCGTTCACTTATGACGTCCAGGGGGGGGGGATCAGCAAGAAAAGAACAATAGAAATTCCAGGAAATCCATTGTCCTTTTTTGAAAAATGACCGTTAATTTCGGACGTCATAAGTGAACGACCCCTGAATATTCTGTGCATTTTTATGACTCACGGTTTGGTTCTGGGAATTGCTAATTATTTTATTAAGTCGCAGTTTATTTGGAATTTCTCAAGTGGGTTTGAATGAAGTATCAGTAATTGTATGGATGTGCTCATATGATGAAATTGTTTGGTCAGGATTGATGTATCACTGCCGGTTTTCATAAATAATACTAATTTTCAAAAAATTAACAATGCCTTAAAATTAGCTTCTTCCATCTCTGAGTCCAACTCTAATTATTCTAAATCATTCATGAATAGTTCACTAACCTTCCAAACCACTTTACCAAATTATTCATAAAAATTACTGTTTAGTCAATTAAAAAAGGCATAGCAAATTACCAACAACGCAATTAAGGCATAAAAATAATTTTTGGTGCAAAAATTATTGTAAAGCCATCAACGCAAAGTAAACAAACAGAGATAAAGGAAATAAATAGCCCAATTCGAGCAATATGGAATTAATTTTTAATGACTTGATGATTTTTTTTGTGGTTGCGACTTAATTTTCGTTATCGATTTTCAATCTAAATTGAAGCATTGCTGACGATAATGGTTGGATTTTGGTGCTGAACTTTTTACTGTTAAGATGGAAGTAACAGATAACTGTGCGATGTTTTCGTAATGATTTCATTTGCATATTTATGGTGATCTATATTTCTTATGTATGCAAAAAGTCTTGATTTTGGTATTCATATGGAATCAAGTTTTAATATGCATAGAATTTTCTTTTGAGAAATGAGAATGTGAGTGGATTTTATGATTCACGGTCGGCATGATTTGAAGGTGATTGTAAGGTAGCTAATCCGCCCACGTGGTGACTTGTTTGATTGAGTTATGTCATAATAAACTTTAGCTAAGCTGGTATAATTCATTGGATGAACTTAGAAACTATAAAGGGTATTTACTAAATGATGTTTTTAAGTAATAAAAAGAGTATTCCCACATCTAGAACAACAGATAATTCAAGTTAAAATTCTAAAAATTAAATGACTCCCCATCGACTGTGTGCCTTTGATTCATTCCTTTAACATTTCGTTTTACGGCTGGACGATTGAAAAACATCCAATTAATTGAGCATTTTTATCTAATCTTTGGGCGTGAATCATAGGACCGACCGAATTTTCGGCCGAACTTCTGCTGAACTCCAGCCGAAGTTTTTTGAAATTTCGGTTGAAATTTCGGCCGAAATTAGACAGAAATCTTGAATTTCTTTTAAAAAAAGTAAAATTTTATTAATTTTTTTGTATGAGCCGAAGTTTTTTGACGAATTAAAACTATTTCGGCAGAAACTTCGCCCGAAGTTTGTTTTAATTTCGGCTCAAATTTCGGCCGCAAACTTGAATTTTTCTTGAAAAAAAATTATCTAAAACAATAAATCATCTTTATCTAATTCAATTTAAAAAAAAAAACATTTTTACACTTAATGTTACTTTATAATATTTAGCATTAAATTATAGCTGTAGTTTATTGGGCTTAAATAATAGCACTGATGATGTGTTTGAATCAAATTTCTCGAATTTTGCTTGACTATGATTTTTCCTTTTACAAAAAGTCTGGTCAAAAAGGAGTTTGCACGTTAAAAAATTTTAATCAAAAATTATTTCAAGACACAACTAAAGTACCAAAGTAGTAGTAAAGTACTAGGAATTACTCTGTTATTTAAATTTTTAATTAAAATATTGTTACGATAAAATAATAATGAAAATTAATCGGTGTTTCACTAAGGTCGATAATTCACTGATCGGATTAACCACTTTTTCAATCCGAGGATAATCCCCAAATTTTTGTACTACGTTAAACTACACGGTGAATCAGAAAAAATGGATTTAAAGAAAATAATTTTTTGGTTTACACAAGATTTCGGCCGAAGTTTCTGCCGAAATTGTTTTAATTCGTCAAAAAACTTCGGTTCATACAAAAAAATTAATAAAATTTTACCTTTTTAAAAAGAAATTCAAGATTTCTTTCTAATTTCGGCCGAAATTTCAACCGAAATTTCAAAAAATTTCGGCCGGAGTTCAGCAGAAGTTCGGCCGAAAATTCGGTCGGTCCTATGACCCACAATCCTAATCTTTAAGTCACGTGACTTTACTTGATTGTTTTTTAAAGTTTAATACTTTTTTGATAGTATCAGGGGTCGTTCGCAAATTACGTCACACATGGAAACTATGTTTTCAACCCCCTTCCCCTTCTCCATTTGTCATAAAACTGAAAACATGAGGAAAAATATTTTGTGTAAACTTCATAAATTCTTCTACCTTCTTCCCCCATCCCCAAAAGAATGAAATAATTTGTGAACGACCCTTAAACATTTTTTTTTGAAAAATCCCCGAACCTTCGTGACAACTCCAAATATTTCACTGTCATATCACTTTATTGGACTGAAAATCTAATACAATAATAATATTACTTTACTATTGCCATACAATTATCTGTACACACGGCAATTTATTATTATTTTTCCTCTCTCATATCTACAAAGTGAGTTGAGACGTAACAAATGTGCAAAATGTTATCAGTTCGTGTATTTTTTGTGTAAATTATAGGTATTTAAGTAATTGAATGAATTGCTGTTTTGCTATATTGTGAAAAATTTAAAAAGTTTTGCATGTATAGTTTATTTATTGATGAAATTTTCAGTCTTTTAGTGGGAATTTAAAAAAACTGCTTTGGGATCGTTCACTTATGACGAAATCCGAAATTAAAGGTCAATTTTCAAAAAAGAACAATGGATTTCCAGGAATTTCAATTGTTCTTTTCTTTCTGACCACCCCCCCCCCCCCCCCGGACGTCATAAGTGAACGGCTCCTTTAAAAAGTAATTTAAAATTTTTGTGTAAACTGCAAGAAATCGGGAGAAATCTGAAGATGAGGCGTCAGAGGGGATGCTTTCTTTATTTTAAATAAAGTCCTAATTTCATGTGTGTAGCCAGTCGTAGCTAGAAGATGATTTTTTCTTGTGTGAACGAGAAGTTTTAGGGGGCTTGGATTTTTTTCTTAAAAGAAGAGTGTGAAGGGGGACGTGGGAGGGGAAAAACTGTCTAATCATGACTATTAAATCAAAAGTTGAAAAAAAAACACTTAATTTATGTTTTAATAAAAAAAAGCTCCCCAACTCTGAACCCTCTCCACAGGAGCGTAGCCAGGGGGGTCCTTAGGTGAAAAGAGAAAGTTTTATTGATTTTTGACAATAAAAAATCTTTTGGGTAACCATTGAAAAATCCTGACTACGTCCCTGCTTCTCCATCCAAAAAAATCTTAGCTACTACTTCTGGTGACCTTGAAAACCACTTACCATCCCCATAAAAATTCATAAGAATTTCTCAAAACAGAATTCAACGTCAAAATATTTTCGTAGATTGTCAGTGAATTGAAAATGTAAATAACTTAATTACGATACTCACAAAAAAAAATAGTGAGAGAGTTAAAAGAAGCAATACTGAGCAGTAAATTTGAGTTCCAATGTAAAAGTAAAATACAAGTGTAAAAATAACGATAAACATTTTTTTTTTCATTTCTACACAGCAATTCTCATCAATCCGTTGACAGTTTTCGTGGAGTTAACAAGCACTAGACAAAAGTATAAAAAAAATAAAAAAAACTTGTGTGATAAGTTTTGAATAAATTTGTTTATAAAAATTTACATAATTCAATTGGATACAAAAATATTTCAGTGTCAAAAAAAGTTAAAGAAAAAAAATTCCATTAAAGAATGAAAATTTATCCTCACAATGAGTGAATCACATGACGCCGTATTCTTTACGCGCAATTGAATCACATTCAGCTGAAAAACAGTGATTAAGTGAATGAAAATAAATTTAAATTAAATCGATTCCGTGGTGTTACGACGAGAGAGATTATAAGACATTCAATAGAGCAAATTATATCCAAGAAGAAGAAGAACAGAAAGAAGTGCAAAAATGTGCAAATGCTGTCAATTGTAAGTGAGAAATATTTTTATCGTCTTTCGAATCCTCATTTTTGCTATGAAAATGAAATCAATGCTGAATTTATGTCGATTTATGTGATTTAGGATTTGAAAGTTCGTGACATTTGCACACTGAAAATTGCTCATTGATTTTATTCTGCAAATTTTTGTTCGAATTTTTTTGTGACAATGAAGTGAGATTTAAAGTTATCGGAGCTTTGTCTAATCGGCCTTATCGCTGGTAACATTTTACGAGTACTTAAGGTTAAAAATGATATCAAGTGGTTTAAGAAAAGATGTGTTTTAGTTTAATTTGATGAATGTGCTTTGGGGGGTCAAGTTTTTTAATTGACCTCGTGATTTTTAGATGCTGTGAATTGATATACAGTAAAAATAAGTGAAAATGCTTGGTATTTAAGTTTACTCGTGCCACCTTAGAGCAAAACTTAATTTCAATGTCCTACAACATAGAATATAAATAAAATTAATCTCATACTAGGGTAGGGTGCCCGGGTAGCTCTAGAAACCATGCCCTAGTTGTCATGAGATGTATATTAGTAGATTAATAAGCTATGGTTCAATAATTGCGAACACTATGGTTCTAAAAATCTAGATCTTGAGCCTAAGATGAGCCTGTAGCTTTCGAATTCCTTAGATTACACTTGTCCTCAAACAAAACTTCTTAATTAGATAGCTAGTTTTAAATAAACTGCATAAGAACGACATAAATGCTGGATTTGGAAAAATCTAGCGTATTCACTCGTAAATGTTACAATTTTGTCCTTGTTACGCCATGTGCTCTTCAGGAAATTGATAAAACAGGTTCTAGTTTAGAAATTTCACTTCAACTTTTAAATCACAACAAAAGAAATTAAAATCAATAAGATTTGGGCAAATAATCACTGAGCAATCAATCATTACCCCCAATATTCATCATCCTGGATTATGTATAACTTCTATTTCTTCCATTTTGATTTCTAGATGCTTAGAGGATATCTACTGGCAGTGCTGCGAGGAAAAATATTGTTACGACAAAACCATTGGTATGTTATTGAAAATTTTCACTACTCAATCTCTCCATCTCCCTTACCCCATTCCCTGACTCACTCATTCTCGCATGTCATAAAAATTATTGATAAGAGTAGCATTTATCTTATCGTCGTTTGAGTCAATACACGAAAAATTGTATATATACAACAACATGCAGCACATATCTCTCTCGATATATTTTCCATCTCACTCACAACGTGGGATAAATTGAAGTTCATAACCGAGAGTGGTTTAGTGTTATCGACACGTGAAATTTATATCTTCTAGTCGATAGACAAGAAGGTGCTTTCATATGCCTTTACGCTACAACAACAAGAACATGATATAACATTATCCATGATAAATTAATTCAATCTGTCAAAAGGGTTTCTGTGATGTGATGAAATATTTTATAGGCAATCGGTGAACTTTTTTTTTTGGAGTGAAAAATCGGAATAAGATTTTTTTTGGATGGTATGAAGGGGGGCTTGGGGTAATTTTTCTTAATTTACTAAAATAACCCAAAGGTTCGAATTTGGTTTATAAATTCCAAAAAAGAAAGAAAAGCTCAATATTTCAATAAGCACAAAAACTGCTCAATCATCTTCATGTTAACGTATCAATTAGCTTAAACTATGTTTTATTAATCTCAATTTATTCATCAATTAATCATCAATTGAAAATGCAGTTTAAATTGCTATTTGTTATGATGCGCTTCAGACACACCCCATAGAAACAAACAATTCTCAAATCTACCTCTCATTTAATCTGCTGATCCAACAGAATATTAATTCTAGGCTTAACGCAAGAAATGAGATTGAAAAAATTATTTAAAGGTGGATTTTTAATTTTGAAAATAAATTTAAACTAAAATAGATTTTTTTTCGAATATTTCTCAACGCAAGTTAATAATTACTCATACATCAAGTTCAATTGATTTTCTTGCTGTAACGCAACCCAATTAAGTATCAACAAATATTTCGTCAGATTTAAAATTCTCATTTTTGTAAGCATTGAATTTAATCAGAAAAGTTTTACGTCATGAGAAGTTTTCGTAATGAATTTTAATTTTGTAGATTGATAAATTACTAGAGAAAGTGAAAATGTGACGTATTAAATACGAATACTGATGAGATGAATTAATACAAGTTTAGATAAGTTTGAATAATAATCGGATAAGTTGTGCATAATTAATGATTCTATCTAGTTGTTCTAGAAATTTATTAGTAATCCTATAATAGTGATGTCATAGTGAAAGCACTACGAAACTTGTTTATGACGACTCGTGACACTGTTGAATTTAAGATTCTAGGATTCCAGGACATTGAATCTTCTACCCGTATGGCACAAGTAGGTTAATTGATTAGAAATTCAGTACCAAACTGGTGTTCCTCTTGCATGGTGCTGGATTTAAATTTAAGCAAGCATTTTGCTAGAGTCATGTCAGCTTGGTGCTAGATTTCTATTCAATTAACCGACTTGTGCTATTCGGGCTAGTATAATGTCATGAGCATTGTTCGAATCCTTGTCATATGAACAACACTCTTCATAATAATTGAGAGATCGGTCTCTGGTGGGAATCGAACCCACGTCCTCACAAATAAAGATTACAAATATCCGATCGAATGTAAATCAACTCGTGCTACAAAGGCTTAACTCTCAAAATGACAGATTCGTCTACATATGGCAAGATTCCCCAGATTCCGCTCTGCTTAGACACCACACCTAGGTAAAGCATACCTAGCTCACAAAACTTTACAATATTTGTAATAATGCAATAAAAACTTAATTCAAGTCACGAATAAAAAGCAATCTAAAGTCTGTCTAAATATAACTTCCACTTTTCATAAGTCATAACACGGAAAATCATTTCTCAGCTGACTTTACATTTGCGCAATCTATAAGCCGGCATAATAAAAATAAAGCAAGTATTTTTTTTGCAATAAAGCTTGATGAGTCATCAGTCTGCGATTTGTTTGTTTTTAAAGTTGATTGTCCCTTCTTGCCAACTCTTAATTATTTTTCCATCACAAATTATCTCAGCATTGATACAACTGTGACAAAATTAACACTATCTTAATTATCCAATTTTACTGCCATATTTATTGACATTCGAGTGCTGATGTTGAACTGTAAAATTACGAAGACAATTCAATATTTACATTAATGCAATTTCTTACCCTGCAGAGGTTCTTTCAGTTCAATGAGCTTGTACATGCTTATTTAATTATCTTATGAAATGTAGGGCAACAGATTCAGCAGGTAGATATGTTAGGATTCGTACGATATTGTTGCTTATTAGTCACATGTGACGAGACTTTGCTGTCATCGTAAAATTGTGTTAATTAATTTAGTTTTCGCGATGATTCTGTGGAATTATTAAAATAATATTCATGAGAAATTTTTAATTGAATTATCAGCTCTTGTGACAAAATTTGTTAATTTTCACAACAAAATACCCAGAACTGTCATTTCTTAATGCAAACATTACATTTTGAAAATTGCCAAGTTTCTACTGGGACAAGATTTATCAACTGTACATGCTCCATTCACCCAAATGCATCTCTAACATGCTCTTTCTAAATTAATTATTAAATCTATACAGAAATAATTTAAATGCAGAACATTAAAGAAGCATCAACTATCTTTGCTAATTATTTGTTATTAAAATTTCAGCCTGACTTGTATTCAAGGGGGTCATGTTGCTTATTTTCAGACGTCAATTTTCTAAAAGTATTAAAAATCGATTAGAAAAAAAAAATCCCATTCAAGTAGTGAATTTGACCTTCCTTTCACCTGTCTATTCATTTGATCTCTAATATGAACGGATTCTTAAAGATTAGCCACTGATATCTCCCAGATTGCTTCACAAATTAAGCTTTTTCTAGAATATTTCAGATAGTGCGCTTCAAAAAGAGTTTCTGTCACAATATGCGCACTAAAGCAAATCCTAAGCTTCCAGCTCACTCTTAACAAACTTACATTTTAAATCTTCAAAAAAATCGTTTTTAAAATTTTTCCTGTTCATGGGTAGCGAACAACGCTCTTGCTGTTAAATTCTGGTACTTAATCAGGTTTTTGACATCATTTATTAACGTCTTCCAATCGCATCAAATATTTTTAACACAAAAATCATTAGTTATTAGCAAATATCAATATAATAATTAATAAACGAACGCAAATTCTGTTAAAAACATACGTCAATACACAAAAATGACTAGACTCAATTTACATTAATTTCTCTTCACGAGCTTTTCATGAACTCAGATGCTAAAATGTTGAATAAACAATGAACACATTAGCAGTGGTTGTTGTCTAACTGAAGTTGATGCTCGCATTTTATTGATTCTCTTATGAAGGAGATGAAAATTGTGTTATTTGCACGTAGATGCTTCTTTTGATTGTAGACAGAAATCGAGTGCATAATGCAGAATTTTTTAGTTGATTTGGGGATATGTGGAAGATGTGCTTTAGGTGGTTTTTCGATCGATATTGCTTAATTTATCAATTTAGATCATCTATTGAGCTACTCAAATCTGGTATCATTGACCTCTTTGTAGCATACAAATCCGCTGAATTATTGATAATGGAATTTCACAGAATTGACTGCAAGAATTCATTGAATAAACATTTCAAAATCCTGATACGAACAATTCATGTTCGACAGACTTATCGAAAGTCTAGGGGAGTTATAATATGCACGTTCGAAAAGTTTAAATTTGAAAGAAACCGTTACAATTTTAGTGATTTTATTAGAGTTCTTGATCGTTTTAAAAAAGATTCAGCTATATTATGCTTATCATTCAATGACTACACAATATTTTCATTTAAATTTCATATAAAACTTGTTTAATTTAAGTTTTTATTTTTTTGAAATTTTCGAAAATTTCGAACTGCAGGGTATGAAACTTCGAATTTTGTATGTCAGACAGACAAATAAGACATTTTCACAAGTTTTCTTGGAAACTGTAACGGTCGAAGCTCTTGAATTGTTCGTATCAGTCAAAATCTTTCTCATGAAACTTTTTCACTTTAACTTATTACTTTACGCAACTGTCTGCAAACTTTCTTGTTTTCTTTATCCATTCTTCAAAATTCTTGTTTATTTCCATTTTTATCCATCATAAATAAGGATTAATTTACAAGTGATATCCAAAGACTCTCAAAATGAAATTTTCAAATATGATTGTTGAACCTCATTTTTAATTGCCCCCTAAGAACTTCTCTGCTTATGAAAATCCTCATATTTTTCTTCTTTTTAGCAAATTATGATCCAACTGAAGATGAAAATTATCGTCGCTCTAATGGACACGTTGCTAATGGAGGTGAATATTTAAATAATAACAATGAACCCATCACAGTACAGCCATCAAGATTGCAGAGGAATATCTCTATTAATAGGTAAATATAGATACGCCACAAGACTGTAGTATTTTTGGAGCGGGATTAGGTTTGGGTTAATTAACCCGAATAGCACAAGTCGGTTAATCGATCAGAAATCCGACACAAAGCCGACGGGACTCTGGAATGGTACTTGATTTAAGTCGAATCCGGCATCATTTTAAAGTCACACTAGCTTTGTGTAGGATTTCTGATCAATTAACCGACTTGTGCTGTCAAGCAAGCTTAAAGTTCAATGAGTGTTCAGCAGGGTCTTGCCCCCCCACCCTTAAAAATTTTGAATCAAAGTGAGAGCACGGCCTAAAACGCTTAAGAGGGGGACAAGACCCTCCTGGCCACGCGTCTGGTGTTCCGAAAGAAGATCCACGTGACATCAAAAAATGTGTTAAAATTTTTTTGTTAAATTCATTTTCAGCGCCAAAATTCACGAAGACGACGTTCGTCGAGAAATCCAAACAGCAAATGTAAATCTACCGCCCGAGATAATTCAAGTTTTTGCCAATTCACAAATCTTTCATGACCATAAACCATTAAAGTCAAAGCAGCAGCAACAGCTACCAGCCACGTTTTCAATTGGTGTTGTAAAAATTGAAAAACCCAAATTAGAGCAAATCAATGAAGAGGGTAGCAACAAACTCCTGCTGAGATTGGAGCAAGGTAATGACGGTGATGATTTTACTTGAATGGAAAAATCTTTTTTCTTTCTTCATTTTCTCTCTTTTTTTTCGCAGTGGGAAATTTACTTAATGAAGGAAACAGAAGCATTTTCTGTGTTTTATAGTGCAGTTTTTGGAAGGGATTAGTGTTGGGAGGGTTTGTCATTGTTTTGACTGATTGGAATAGGGTTTGATGAGACTTAATTGACCAAAATCGTTTAATTTGAACTTAAATTCCAAAAAAATCATTTTTAAATCTTAATTTTATTTTAAATTTCAACCTCGAGTGAAACACTTGACATGGTGTATGGTAAATTTCTTGACATAGGGACGACTAGTGACAATTTTTAACGAACATATCTAAAACATTGCCATTAATCGTCCCCATGTCAAGTGCAATGATGCGGAACTGATAAATTATATTGTTATCATTTTTGATCGGTTCCGCACTTTTGGTCAAGTGTTCCGTTCGGGAACATTTAAAATAATTTTGACAAATTTAAAAATCTAAAATCTCTCAAAAATGCACATACCTTAAAAATACTTCTGATTCCTTCTCAACTCAATTTTTTTTGTTACTGCTGTAAATATTCTAAGCTCGAAATTTACTTTATTTTATTTTAATTTATGAAAAAAAAACTTTTTTTTATGCAATCGTGTTTTTTATACCATTGTTCTGGTACCTTTTGTAAGAAAAATCTGGCAATAAGAGAGAAATCACTCTAATGATGTGACTTACAATGATGAATATATCTTTTTTTTTTATCGGAAGCTCAGTTTGATTAGTTGAAAAGTTTTTTGTTCACGAGATTGTTGTTGATAAATTGCAGTTGGACGTGGAGATGATTCTGTGAAAAATTGAAAATTGAATTGAATGGAAATGGTTAGGAAAAGTGGGATTTTTAAAGGAATTCAACTTTTTTACTTTACTTTGCTGGACATTGTGATCCATGACCTCTCTTAGTTGTCTCCTAAAACTAGCTCTATCGCTGGCCAACGTCTGCCAATTGCAGATTCCAAATGCAACACTATCTCTATCAACAACCTCTTTCCATGAGTTCTTTGGCTTTATAAGTTTTCTCTTTTCATATACAAAATCGGATTTTAATAAATTATCTAATGGAGCCTCGCACCTCTTCTTTTAGGGTGTCCTTTATCACCCTTTTAATGAAATTTGTATGAAAAAAAATTTCTTTTGTTTGTAAAGTTTCAATATCTTCAATATCCTCGACCCCTTTGTGGCTATGTGTATTGAAATCGTTCCTTCATATTAAATATCATTTAATTCTGAACTACATTGTAAGAAGCAATCTAACAGTAAATATCCATAAAATTACTCATTCCAACTCTCATATGCTCCACAATAAACTTAATAAAATTTATTACATTCGGTTGTAAACATTGCACTTATAATTTACTTTTTATTTAATTTTTTTATGTCATATCAAGAGCACTTGATAGAAATTCATACAGCAATAAAGTTCTTTTCTTTCATCTAAAATCGTAAAGCAAAACCTCGACAAAAACGTTCATGAATTTGTGGCATGATGTATTATTTTTATGTCAATCTGCAAGTCAATTTTTCGTGACCCAAAGTATTAGGGGTCGTTCTCTTATGACTAGAGTGACCATCTAATTTTTATGAAAATACAGGACTTTTGATAAATTTCCCAAAAAATACAGGACACAAAGGAAAATTTGAAAATTAACGGAAATTTTCGTGATAAAAATACAGGACCTGGAACAAAATTTTCAAATTTATACTGGACAGGGTTTTGAAAAACAGGACTGTCCGTTGTAAAACTACGCAGATGGTCACCCTACTTATGACGCACAGGGAGAAGGTTGGTCAGCAAGAAAAGAAGAATAGAAATTCCTGGAAATCTGTTGTTCTTTTTTGAAAGATGACGTTAATTTCGGACGTCATAAGTGAATGACCCCTTATTTGAATTGAGAACTATGATGGTTGAGAGGAATTAGATTGGAGGAAATTCTTGAAGATTATTTTGCTCAGTTAAGATGTTTTACTTTGTGGTAAAAGAAGGTTGAATTGATATCTTTGTAGGTTGATAAAATATAACCGGTTTCTGATGAGAATCGAACACACGTGCTCAAAAAACGATAGCTAGCTGCTCGTATGTCTACAGAATCCTTTCCTTTTTCATGTTAGCAAAATGAAGTAATTAAGTTGCTAATTTTCTTTGAAAAATCTCAACAACTAATTTCACCTCCTTTCAAAATTCATTTTCTATGAAAAAAAAGCAATCAAAACCCAAACAAAATAACTCCACGTGAGAAAATCAGCATGTGATGAACATAATAAACTTTTATATACATTTCCTGCAAAGATACTCTCAAGTACTTACATGCAAACTTTCCACATAATAAAGATAAAGTAATTAAATCAAATATTAAACTACTCGACTTTATTCAAGAGTCTGGTATGCCTTTTTTGTACAGCTAAAGCACTTTTACATCATCAAAAAATTTAAGCATCATAATAATGAGTACAAGTCGAAAACCTAAAAGAAAAATCAAATTGAGCTTTCGTCGACTGAGAAAAGTAATTTATTTTCCAACAGAGCGAAATCAGTGTTGACAAAAAAGAAAAGGGAATTATAGGGCAAAGTGATAAAGAAACTTTTATTGTCATTCAGTCTTCTTTGTGCTTCTTTTTTAAAAAAAGAAAGAGAAATGAATGGAAATTGTGTTATGAGTGGGATGTCCAACTGCGTAGAACTTTACAATTGAAGTGATAATTTGTAAGGGACTTAAAGACTCTCAGTTAAAAATTAGAATTCATATAATTTGTAGAACTTTAGGCTTAATTTTAGATTGAGTTGAAATGGCATTAGTAGCCTGGATGGTAGAGTGTTGGCCATGTGTGCCAAAGGTCCTGGGTTCAATCCCATTCCAAGTCAACATTTAAAAAGCTCTTTTTCGAGTTACAAAGCTTGGTTTAATGTGTTGGATGAAGTTTTAAGGTTTTTGGCACATCATGTGTCTTCTTTGGAGGTATACTAAGATATACTAAACGTACACGTGGAAGGAGCTCAGATTCCAATATAAACTGTAAGTTTAAAGGATGTCGTACAATAGATTCTGTGGGGCCGTTCGCATTTTAGGGGGGAGGGGGGGTTTGAAAAATTGTAACAAAATGTAACATAGGGGGGGGGGGGGGGGGTGTCAAGAAGTATGGAACGTTCTAAAAAACGTAAATTAATAAAAACGTAATTCTAAATTCACACCATAAACATTTTTTTAAATTTTCCACCTTTTTATCAAAATAAAATAAATTATGAACGTTCAGGGGGGGGGGGGGTTGTGAGTTCTAACATATTGTAACAAGGGGGGGGGGGGTGAAAAAAGTCGTTTTTTTGCTTAACGTAATATGTGAACGGCCCCTGTACTAATCTAGATAGGAGCTTGCTAGTACCTAAAATTCTTCTATAAACTGTAGATCTAAAGTGCGTGGTACAATAGGTTCTGTACTAATCTGTACACGCGTGTTGATTCTGTTCTTGGATGCTAATTGAATAACAGTTGCTTCAGCTTAAAATCTGAGCCCTTCATACGATTTATCTTTTATCTTTGGAGCTCAGTGTCTTATTTTTGATAGACACTACTATTAGGGCTAGTTTCTAAGGCTACCCGGCCGAATCATAGTCAGAGTTCAATTTTGTTTACATACCAAGGTAGCTAGTAATCGAGCCCTGATCATGAGTGTCCATTCCTGTTATTTTACCGCATTAACGCTACAAAGAGTAGACTAAAAGTCTTTGACTCTACAATGCTCAAAACATCAACATGCCCATTTACACAGAAACAATACTCTACATGCCCCATTAAATCAGAAAATATAAAGAAATAACAGTCGACATCTCTGATGGAAACAAATCAATTATTTTTCTCAGTGCCAAACATAAAACACATTAAAAAAAAATCTAGTTCAATAATATGGACATGACTATACAATATCCGCACGGTAGCATAAATTCAATAAAATATTAAATTGGCAATTGTGCAAAACTCAAAACTAATTGGATGATATTTTTCCAGAGTAAATTGACAAACAAATTAAATAAAATAATTAAAAGAAACAAAAGAAAAAAAATTGGCTGCATTAGTTACCGTAAATACTTCATCATGCATATGTGAATAAAAATAAAATCATCAAAAAAAAAAGTTCGTCGAGTTTAAAAAAAATTTTGTATCCAAAAAAAAAGTCTTTCATCATCATCATCACCATCATCCTTTATTCGGGCAGGGGAGATTCACACACAAACACACACTCAAAAAAAAATATATAAGCATTTTCGAAATTGATTGGAAAAAAAGAAGGTGCGATAAGTGATGAGGAAGAGATTTTAAGAGAGAAAACTTTGTTGGTTTTTTGTTTTGTTATCAATCATTCATAATGTTCTTGTTATATTCGTTACTTTTCGCTCAATAATCAAATAACTCACGTCTTATTGAACATTAATCAAATATTCATCTGCTAAGTCTGTGGCTGTTCAAGTTTGTTTTTGATTTGTTTGTCACTTAGTCATTTTGTGTCTTGTTACTTGTTTTTTGTTTTGTTTTGTCTGTTTTGTGTCGTTTTTTGGGATTGAGGCTCTTTGGGAGTCGACTTTAAAATACACAAATAATGTCAAATAATTGCAAGTTTATTTAAAAAATCCAAAAACAATTAAATTGGGTAAATGGGTCGGAAGCAGACATAAAGGATATGATTAAGCTTTCTGATACTCGACTTGGATCTAAATCTCTAGTTAAATTTGAGTGTTTAAACTGATTGAAACCATTATTCAGAATGGGAAGCAGAATATCAAGCAAATAATCAATTCTATTTACAACAATTATTAATTCTCAATTTGAAATTTATTTAAAATTCCAATATGAAAAAAATATAAATTCAATCAAAAATATCAATCAATTTTTCAATATCCTTCAGGCTTCTCTTTTAATCTTTGCTAACTTTAACTGTGTCATAAAAAGAAATATTCATTTTACAACGCTTTCAACTGTCTTTTACGTGTTGTGTGCTTAGCTTCTGTTGGCATTAACAAAATTTACTTTGAAAAGAAATTTTTCTTCTACTTCTTAGATTGCTTGAAATTGCAAGAAGCAACTTTTTTGTTGGCTTTGCACAGATTTTTTTAATAGAAATTTGGTCGGGAAAATTTTGTCAGAATTTAAAATTATTTTCATTTTATTTTTTTAAATTTTTTAAATTTTCAATTTTTTTTAAAAACTCAATTTTTTTACAAAAAAATCAAAGGTGTGAAACTGATGAAACTATCACTTTTGATCAATTTTAATCATTTTCGATAATTTTTTGATCATTTTTGATCACTTTTGATCTTTTTTGATCAATTTTAATAATTTTTGATCAATTTTGATCATTTTTGATCATTTCATCAGTTCCGTACCCTTGAAAAAATCTGACAAAATTGCCCCCACCACCAAAACTTCAATAAAGAAAAGTACTTTATTTCATTTCATTTCTCTCTTTATTTTCTCATTCACCCCAAAGCAGACGAAAGCTCATCGAAATCCGACATTCAACGTACGAAACGTGCTGCAGTGTCATCAACCCCACCAAAAATAGTCGAAACACCTGCGATAAAAGAGGAAGAGAACGAGGATGAGGCAGATTCGGAAGTGATTTTGCGACCGAATCGTTTAAAATCTACAACAACAACAATACAAGCATCAGCGGAGGAAGTATGGTCAGTAAAGCCGGTAAATAAACGACTTCAACTAGATGCTCCGTATTTCACACAACGTCCAGCATCTGAAAATGACATTTCAATAATTTCTCCACAAAAACAAGAAAGAACGTCCACAATACCGACTGTTTCATCCTCATCGGATTACGATTTCCGTTTCTCAATGACTCCCGAAGTGCCATCAATATCATTTGCACATTTGCCAAAGAACTATCTCGACACGCCATCAATTGAGAAATTTAAGAAGCATGAGCCGACTCTACAGGAAATACAGACGGCTGGATTGCAAAGTTCTCAAATTGACTTCTCAATGCCACGGTATTATGGTAAATCCGATATAATATTGAACCGTACAAACTTTGATGTCATTGGCAGCGGATCAAACTCGTCAATTGCATCAGCTGTTTCCGTTTCAATGCACACGAAAAAGTTAGTCGATAAGAGTAAAAGACTTAAGCACATAAGGGCACATTTACCTCCTCTCATGATCCATAAAGATAAAAATGAAAAGGAAAAATGATGATTTACTTATTTTTTCTGTTGATTGAGCGATTTTTTGAGCTTCATCTTGCTTTTATGGACTGATTTTAGGTTGGATGACGGATTCATTGATCGAATTTTTGCTTGTCCTAAAGTTTTTTTTTATTAGAATTTTTGTAATTAATCTGTAAATGCATAACAGTAAAGCTCTAACTTTGCATGATTAGTGTGCCTTAATTTGTGATCCGCCATGTTGAACTGTGAATTAAAATTGAAAAAAATTGTAATTTTGTATACTGAATGTCACATGTGTTGTAGGTCCTATTCCCCTAAATAACATCCCTTTAGATAAGAATCCATAAAAAGTAAGTGATAAGAAGATATTAAACCAACATAAATGCGAAATAGACATAAAATGAAGACTTAATTTACATATTCAGTATTGTCAATAGTTCCTGAGTGAAAAGCTATTCAACTAATCCTTCAACTGTATTTTAATTCATCATCAGGGGTGTAGCCAAGGGGGAGAGGGTTCGGTGTCAAAAACCCACTTTTTGCTAGGGTTTTTTTTTGAGAAAAAATTCCATAACCCCTCAAAATAATTTCTGGCTACGCCCCTGTTCTTCATGATGTAAAATCAATCACTCGGGATGCCTATAATGAAGGCTTTAACACGTTTAATGGTGATGGATATTTTTTAAAAATTTATAAAGTTTAAATAAAATTTAATAATTTAAATTAAGATGATTATTGTAAAATTTAAAAAAATTATAAATTGTATAAAAATAAGCAATGGTTATAAAAAATGTTAAACATAATAGAAAATGACCGAAATAATTAAGCAATATTTCTGTAAATAATAATTACAATATTTGTAGAAAATTGAGATAAAAAAAATAAAATGATATTAAACATTAAAAATTGGATATTTTATTCCTCAAACTTACAAGTTTCAGCTTTGAGAGTTGAATGATTTAACAAATAAAAAAGAAATCTTTTTGAAGTTTTTTGAAACTTAAAATTTTCTTTTCATATTTAAACCATATTTTTAATTTGTGTGATTATTTAAATGTTCTAAAATCAACAAATCTTCGTTCAAATAAAACAAAAATTCTTAAATCTTAAAATATAAAATTTATTGTCATTTATTAATTTTGAATTAAATAAAAAAGTATTTAAAATAAAGAAACTAAACACGAAAAGCCTTTACACATACCACAACAATTTATAGCAAGATTATTATTCCCAAAGTCACAAACCACTCGAGCGCAACTGTTGCATAGCAAAAAAATATAAATTGTGTCACATGTGACACATGAAAAAAAGCTTTTTATAAGTTTCAAACTTAAATGTTACTATACGAGCGAGAAACAATGTCTTATTCAAATTCATATGCAAATTAAAAAGGAAGCTTGTGAGTTATTTGATTTGTAGTTGACTAGAACGCATTTCAGGAGCATAATTTTAAAGGATAAATTATGAAATTATTTAAATCATAAAATCGGTTAAGGCATAAAAATTAAAATTTCAGAGAAATTGTTGAGGTTCGTCCAAGGATGTTCGTTAGAATTTTACGTCAGTAATTCCCTGACACCTATTCCTTGTTCCTATCAACACATTCAGCCATAATAAACTCTCCAGCACACTCGCAAAATCACAGCTTCAAATAACTTTTACAATGAGCTGAAAATTTCCCTTTTTTACGTCATTAAAAGGAGACAATTTCATTTCCACAATCATGCACGCGGCTGTTGCCGAGTCAATAAAGACAACAATGCAGTCATTCATAAAAAATTTCATAATATTCGAAATTATGAAAATGTGTGAATATTTCAGCTCATTTCATCGCGCATTGCATTCGAGAAAGAAAAATAAGAACTGGCAGAAGCATATAGCATGAGAAAGAGAAGATTTAGCGCAAATAATGTTGTTGTAGGTCAGTTCTTTGCAGGCATACAATTTAAAATTTTTTTTTTTATTGTATTGAACCAAGCTTTTTTCGACTTTGTGCTGTATATTTGTGAATTATTCATACAACGACGACTATCCCCACATGCTGTTTTTATTTATTTTTGTTTGTGATAATTTTTTTGATGTCTTTGCCGCTTTCTCAGAGCATTGATAAGGATTATTGCTTGGGAAAGTTTATTGTGACACCTACGAGCTTTGACTTGGAGCTTCAATGTCATTTAACTTTGTTTTTGATTTTTAATTTTCTTATCAAAAATGGAATGTTCAATTGAAAGTAAACACTTGGGGTCCTTGAAATCTTTATTGCTGATTGGAATGTATTACTTGATTAAATGCATAACTTGAAATGTCAGCTTAGATTTTTTTACATCCTTTCTTACTTCAATAGCCGTACAGATCAATTGTGGTTGATGGGTTTTATTATATGGCGTCTGAAGCTACCCGAATAGTAAGATTCTGTAAATCTTATATAAATCCAGCTCCAAGCTGGCGTACCACTGGCATGGTGCTGGATTTGCTTGATTAACCCACTTCTATCGCTAGCTCCCATCTGCAATTAATGACCAGATTATTATTAATGTGAAATATTCACGCGTAATACAATACTGCCTTGAAATAATCTGAAATAGATTGTAACGTGTTGATGATTTTACTCTTAGGATTGTTTTCTCTTATTAGTCTTTACGAATATAGATCAAGGATGTAAGGATTTAATTTTTTGATTTAAACACAAAATTTAAATCAAAAAAGTTGCCAGAAGATTATGATTTAAATTTTACATCCCCTTTCTTTTTTTGCATACACCCCTAATCATGACTGATGGAACAAAAAAATGTTTAAATAGTTTTCGTTTTTAATGATTTTAAAAACAAGAAGCTTCTAGATCTTTCTAGAAATCCAACTTAATTTATTTGACTTATTTACTCAGCATCTATTTAGAACTGTATTTAAATTAAGCCACTGCAACATTGCTCAAAAAATATATTTTTAAACAGCAACATTTAGAATTCTTCAAGAACAGCTAATCCTTACTGATTTCATGATTTAGAAATTTTTTATGATATTTTGCTTTTTAGGAATTAAATATTCTTTACATCAACAAGGAGCATAGCCGTCTGAAGTGAAAATTAGACTCATGCACAAATCTCAGACATGCTTTTCAAAAAAGATTTTCAGTCTAAGAAGCACCCAGAAGGCTTAAAAGTTTGAAGGTTTGTTAATTAAATTTCTGACGTAAGAACTCGAACCATTTTTTACGATATGCTGTTGAATATAACTTTATTCTGTTGCTAAGGCAGAATCTGCGGTTCCTTAATATTGATAGAAATTTTCCATTCTTAACAGGCTTTAATGTGATTGCTAACCTCGTAATATGAGTGAAAAAGTCGATCAACAAACAAATGCAAATTCATATGTTCTAAGAATAAGAAAATTCAATGAAATTTCCACAATTTTAAGCACACATAAATCGATGTGCATTGACATGTAAATTATGTAGGTTGTTTATGACATGTCACTTCTTAATTTTTATAATTTTATTCATAACGATGCGAAATTTTTCACCCTTAAGTATGTAAAACGCGACCAAAACGCGAAGATAAAATATTTTAGTATATAAAGGGAGTTTCATCACCTAAAAAGCATCCATTCTTGCTCTAACAATCGAGCAATAAAGAAAGTAATCTTCTTGTAGATAGTGATAGTACTTGAAAGTAAAGTGTTGTTTATCCAGCTATTAACATTCAACTAAGGACTTAAAAATCATCATGGTAAGTAAACGGCATAAAGTTGATGAAAAAATCAAACAATTAAAATTATAAAAAATTGTGCTGATAAAGTCTCACTTTCTTTACTGAGCACCCGAAAAAAAATGAAAAGTTGATTGACTTTTTGTTGCTGAGCAAAGGTTGATATTCAAAAGAGTCTGTGAATAACATAGAAATGACTTTTTTTGACATGCTCATGTAAAATTTATACTTTTAAAAAGAGTGAAAATGTGATTCGATTATTTTTTTTTGAAATTGGCAATGATTGGCATACAAAACACAATTGGTTGAAAATGATTGGCAAAAAAATGGCAAAATTTCAATTTGAATTTTATATCTGAAAAAGATGATAAAAAAAAATTGAGATAGAAAAAGAAAATTGAAAAATTGATGCAGTTTGAAATTTATAAGGTATTTGATATTTTCTCTGATTCTTGGAAGAATTTTGTAGATTTTAAGTTTGAAAATCTAGTTTCTTTCATACAAATTAAATACTTTTGAAAATTTTTAAATTTAACGTTTTCTTCTAAATTGAGATCTGCTTTTTAAAACAACTCAAAATTCTAAAATAATAAAATTAAAAAAATTAAAATTATAATAATTTGAATTTTAATAAAATTAGAGATTTAATTCATTTAAATTCTTTAATAAATTTTAATTCTTTAAGAAATTCAAATTTTAAAAAATTCAATTTCAGTTTTGAAATTCTAGTTTTTTAAAACTTTTAAATTATTTTTTATTTTTATATAAAATTTAAAATTAATTTAAACATATTTCTTATTTGCTTTAAATCTAAAATAAAAAAAATTATAAACAAATTCAAAAAATTAAACAAAAAAAAAATGAAAAAAGGAAAAAAAAATCAAAATTAAATTCCACAAGATTCTTTCAAATTCGGCTTATTAAATTACCAAAAAACAAGAATTAAAAAAACATTCAATCTCTTCTAGAAAACATTCATTCTTTTATCATTCGCACTTTTGGGATTGACTCGTGCTATGATTGTAGCTAATCCCCTTCCAAGCGGCCCCGTAACTTTTTGCGGTACCAAATTAAATCAAGCCATGAAATTGTTTTGTGCACCGGATATGAAGAGAATGATTCAAAACAATAACTTTGCGAAACGATCTAGTAAGATAAACTTACTTTTTTTGCCATTTGATTTTTAATTAAAGTAATAAATTATTTTAACAGCAAACTTTCTCGATCAATTGTGGAGTCCTTATAATGATGACTACGATTATTTGCCAAATTACGATTCATTTATCGGAAATAATTTGATGTATGGAAGTGATATTTATCATAAGAGATCAACTGGGACACTCACTCAAGAATGCTGCAAGCAGTCGTGCACTTTGAGGACACTTATTGAATTCTGTCCCAATTAAGTTATTTAATAATGTCCAAAACAACAATATAACATGCATTGATTATGTGATTTTATATTATTTTTTTAAACTTTTGAACTTTTCTATTTTATCTCGTTTTGATGCTTATTTGTTACAAAGGTCAAATAACACGAAAA